CCAAGTGCTGTATGGCAGCTGTAAAAAGTTGCCCCGTACTTCACTTCAGTGTTGCCATATTTTTATTGTCCTTCGGGATTATTGATGCCAGCACTATTAAGTGTTGATAATTGAGTATCGCTCAAGCCGGTGCTGGGGGCGTGAGGGATGTTGCACGTTTTCAATATCCCTTATGTACATACTAAATCAAACCGAGTCCGCAATTCTCTTGTAATTGTGTTGTGATTAGTGCTGCCAAAGGGTCATTTGTCTCCAGATTTTAGTATATACAGCATGAGGCGCTTGCGATAAACCGTTGTATTTGTTGAATGTCGATGATAAATATACCTGAATTAAAACATATGTCACAATATAGTCAACTTTCGTTTGTACTCAATCCTTTCAGCTTTAACAAGACATTATTTTACTTGGGGACACGTTTTTTACTAGAAGGTTCCATAATAAACGCCGTATGAACAAATCTGCGGATGTTGATAAATTCAAAATTTCACCATGTTTTTGTGTTTAAATGTTGAATTCTGCTTAAGCCGGTGCTAGGGGGCGTGGACGGTAACTTGCACTTTCCAGTACCGTCCATGAATTGGTTGACACCACAGCGGAGTATTCTCTACAGAGGGTATCTCTTGGGTACAGTAGGGTGAACGTTTCGGTTGTCAAAAATAGCGTTTTTCGTGCGTCCGTTTTTCGTGTAACGTGCGTGCGTATAGCGTGCAACGTGCGTTTGCTGAAACGCTTTCTCAAGCGTGCATCGTTTTCAAGCGTTTAACGTTTTTCGTTTTCCGTGTATCGTTTTTCGTTTATCGTGCGTCTGAAAGCGTGCGTTTCTTATTTAGCGTGCGTCTGCGTTCGTCTAAGCGCTTATGTACCGTGTTTTGCGTGTGTTACTATTCAGAAGTAAAAGAATATCTTTAAGATAACACACGCAAAACTAAGATTCTTAGATATATTATGTAAATTTCTTGTTTCTTAAACATGTAAGAGATGTTCTGTGTCCCTGTCAAAGAATAGAAATATTATATAAAGAAGTATTATTGTGATGTTTACATTAAAGTTTTAAAGTTTGTGACCTCGCGGTGAATACTGGTCAGATTTCTGGGCCTGTCTAAAACGCGGACGCCTTCAGCGGACAATATAAACATATAGGGAAAACGCTGACAATATAGACAAAGAGGAAAAAAGCGGACGATATAGATATATAGTGGTGATTATTTTGGGCATTGATGCAGTTTATAAAAATGATGTGTAATTGGATTTATACTTTAATGTATAAAAAAATATAATACATTAGCAAATTGGGAGAAATATTAAAGTAATTTATGATTGAATGTCAATGAATTTTATATTATATTTATATGACACATTTTCGGAATTTCTAAATATTGAAAACTGTGCCTTGAAAACTAATATATGAAACAAATGGATCAAATGAATGTCTTTAGAATTACAATGATGGTACTAAATTGGCAACAACTGATATGTAATTAAGTATATGTATTTCATTTTGGCATTGTTTTTGTCTGTCTTTATGTGCAGTAGGCGGACAAAATTTTTATTCGCAAAATAAAAAAAGCCTTGATTTTTCAAAATCGAAATTTTGTAAGAGTAATTTTTAATCATAAAGTTATTGATATAAATAAGTAAAGACATGCTGTTGTTTTTTATTGATACAATATAAGCAGAAGCGTGCTGCAAATTAACGGTAATTATATAAGTGTGAACAACACGCTACTGATTAATCGTGTCGGCACTTAGCTAGAGCTAACATGATACGCATTTTGCGGACAATATAGATATATAGGGAAAACGCTGACGATATAGATATAGAGGAAAAAAGCGGACGATATAGAAATTTAGAGTAGACTTATTGATGATGAGGTGGGAATCGATGAACTTAATAGAAATGCTGTATAATAGAATCATATTTTTGTATACGTAAAACTTAATGGCAAATAAGGTAATTTTTTTAAATTACGAATTATACTAAGTTGACCACATTAAAAAAAAAAAAGGATAAAAACTTTCATTCACATTTGTACAATGATTTTTGGACAAAAACACGCTTATTTATAAATTAATGTTTTTAAGGTAATTTTAAAGTTTAATGGTCGTTGATAAAAAGAAAAAGGCATGCACGTATACTGTTGTGACGGACACGTGTTGCAAATTAACGACAATTAAGTGTCAACAACATGCTACCTGATTGAACCTGTCCGCTCTTTGCCCTATTTTTGCGGACAATATAAATATATAGAGAAAAAGCGGACGATATAGATATAGAGGAAAAAAGCGGGCGCTATAGATATAGTGTAGAATGATGTGTGAGATAAAATTGTAATAAAATAGATAGTGATAGTGTATAGTAATATTGTGCAGTAATAAAAACGAAGATAAAGAATGAACTTCATTGCAATTTTATTTAAGCAATATAACACATTTGGTACATGAATTAATTTTACACATACAAATAATAATAATCCTTTCCTAAAGAAATATAGCCAGATTTTTTTTATTCATAACAGTTTTCTTTTCTCCTGTTTTTTACATTTATTTCGTCAGCGTTTTCCTTCTATATCTATATCGTCCGCTTTTTCACTAGTTAATTGGTATTTATAGCAGAAAGTTTTTTTTTACTTACTTAATGGATAAAATCTAAATAAAACTAAAAAATATTATGAATTAAAGAAAGATAATTGATAAAACTTAATTATATACATGGTAGAAGCCAGGTATTTTTTTTTTATTTATAACAGTTTTCGATTCTCCCGTTTTATACTTTTATTTCGTCAGCGTTTTCCCTCTATATCGTCCGCTTTTTCACTATATGTCTATTTTGTCCGCATTTTCTGTAGCCACTTTATTAATTGTACAAGGGTGAGATGTATGATTACTTGAAATATACAAGTGTCGGTGCGTGATTAAGTCAAATACACAGGTGACACGTGGATACTTTAATTAGTTGATTGGTATTTATAGCAGAAAATTTTTTTTATTTACTTAATGGATAAAATATAAATATAAAATTAAAAAAATATTATGAATTGAAGAAAAGATAATTGATATAACTTAATTATATACATGGTAGAAGCCAGATATTTTTTTTATTTATAACAGTTTTCTATTCTCCCGTTTTATACATTTATTTCGTCAGCGTTTTCCCTCTATATCTATATCGTCCGCTTTTTCACTATATGTCTATATTGTCCGCATTTTCTGTAGCCACTTTATTAATTGTAAATGGGTGAGATGTATGATTACTTGAAATATACAAGTGTCGGTGCGTGATTAAGTCAAATACACAGGTGACACGTGGATACTTTAATTAGTTGATTGGTATTTATAGCAGAAAGTTTTTTTTATTTACTTAATGGATAAAATATAAATAAAACTAAAACATATTATGAATTTAAGAAAGATAATTGATATAACTTAATTATATACATGGTAGAAGCCAGATATTTTTTTATTTATAACAGTTTTCCATTCTCCCGTTTTATACATTTATTTCGTCAGCGTTTTCCCTCTATATCTATATCGTCCGCTTTTTCACTATATGTCTATATTGTCCGCATTTTCTGTAGCCACTTTATTAATTGTAAATGGGTGAGATGCATGATTACTTGAAATATACAAGTGTCGGTGCGTGATTAAGTCAAATACACAGGTGACACGTGGATACTTTAATTAGTTGATTGGTATTTATAGCAGAAAGTTTTTTGTATTTACTTAATGGATAAAATATAAATAAAACTAAAAAATATTATGAATTAAAGAAAGGTAATTGATATAACTTAATTATATACATGGTAGAAGCCAGATATTTTTTTTATTCATAACAGTTTTCTATTCTCCCGTGTTATACATTTATTTCGTCAGCGTTTTCCCTCTATATCTATATCGTCCGCTTTTTCACTATATGTCTATATTGTCCGCATTTTCTGTAGCCACTTTATTAATTGTACAAGGGTGAGATGTATGATTACTTGAAATATACAAGTGTCGGTGCGTGATTAAGTGAAATACATAGGTGACACGTGGATACTTTAATTAGTTGATTGGTATTTATAGCAGAAAGTTTTGTTTATTTACTTAATGGATAAAATATAAATAAAACTAAAAAATATTATGAATTGAAGAAATATATTTGATATAACTTAAATATATACATATCACACTTAATTGTAATGCTTTAAGTTAATTTGCAACACGTGTATTTTCACCGGTAAACGTTTATTTTCAAAAATATACTCATTCGCCCACTATTTCATAATTATATATGTACACAAAAGAAGATTCGGCGAATATGTCAATTTATGTGCAATATAGAAACAAATGTAAATTACAAAACATAGTAAATTGTATATTTTGAAAGAATGTCAATCTACAGTAACACTATATATCTATATCGTCCGCTTTTTTCCTCTATGTCTATATTGTCAGCGTTTTCCCTATATGTTTATCATGTCCGCGAATTGTGTATGCAAAGTGTTCAAATATATTCAAACTTATTTCTTGTGCCCTTATTCAGTTTTCCACACGTGACTGTTGCATGTTTTGTACTGTTTAATTAAAAGTTATTAAGTCAATTAACATGAACAAATAAAAAACCTAAATTTAAGAATTTGAACAAATAAATAAACTTAAGTCTTTTTTAATTATTATAATAATTACACCTTACAATTACTACTGCTTCTAACTAATGTCTTTCACATATTACTTTATAAAAGCCAATTATTAGCCTTTAATATGAATTTTAACTATGCTCAGTCATTTTACACTATATATCTATATCGTCCGCTTTTTTCCTCTTTGTCTATATCGTCAGCGTTTTCCCTATATGTTTATATTGTCCGCTTAAGGCGTCCGCGTTTTAGACTGTGCCCCAGATTTCTACATGCTTTACGCCGAAGATTAATTAGTTTTAATCCTAGTTAACATACGCATATAAGATTTAGTTACTAATTAATTGCAACATTTTTGATATTAAATTCAGCAAACAGGACCCGGTTGTTCAAAACATTGGTTAGTGTTAACCAGTGGTTAAATTCATTATCCGCTGGTTAAATTTTGTCCGTTGGATAAATTCTGTTGCTCAAAACTTATCCAACGGATAAAATGCCTTATCCAGTGGTTAACTTTAACCAGTCCTATGACCACCGGATAACGCGCTTAACCAGTGGTTAAATATGGCTGCCTTTGACCTTCTATACAATGTGAACCAGAGGAAAAAGCGAGTTTTTCGATTTAAATCGTATGATTATACGGAAGATGAAATTATGCAACGGTTCCGTTTCTCTCCTGAAGGCATTGATTATATATCAAAGATTCTTGATCCGTTTTTACGCCGGGAGACACAGAGAAATAGAGCGCTGAGTGTGCAAACGCAGGTTCAAATAGCTTTACGCTATTTTGCCAGCGGTAGTCACCTGAGAGTTGTGGGTGATGCTCTAGGATATGATATATCTACAGTTTCAAGGACAGTAAGAGATGTGTCAGATGCATTGTGCCGAATTGGCCCAGCATACATTTGCTGGCCAAGCGATAGTGAGAGGAGGGAGATTAGAGATGGTTTTTTTGGAATTGCCGGGTTTCCTGGTGTGATGGGTGCGATTGATTGCACCCATGTCCGTATACAGGGACCATCAGAGTATGAGAACAATTACATTAACAGGAAGGGGTTCCATTCCATCAATGTTCAAGCTGTGTGTGACCACAGAGGTATATTACTTCTTTTAGTTTGAAACCTTTTAAAATTGATCCCCTTCTATTCTTTTACTCGTCATCTCAGTTTTAAGTTGCATTTATTATTTCAATATATATGTATTTTCCTTTTAAATAACTGCATATAGTTAACTTTTTCAATATATATACTATATAGAATTTTAAAATTCCGTATGATTTAAAAGTCATCTACAGTATTATACAAGATGAAAACAAGAGGGCCATCATGGCCCTGAAATTGCTAACCTGTATATACCCCCCCCCCCGCCGGGCGGGGTCAATTTTAACCCAGGGGCTTTTATTTGAACAAATTTGGTAGACACCCATTTGAAGATGTTTTTGATGAATATCTTAGCTCTAGATTTAATGAGATTTTTTAAGTTCTTACTATACACATGTAGGGAAAAACAATGCCCCACCCCTTCTGACAGTTGAGCTAAAAATACATTCTCACACTCAATCTAAAAAGAGAAAATCATGACTGCAGTACTTTTATATAAGACAACTCAATATTCAGGTTCCGAATTGTATTGCTGTAAATAACAATATATAAAACAAACAAGAACAAGTTTTTGTCAAAACAGAGGCCTCTGGCCAAAATTCTTGTCATTAACAAACTCTACCATCAATTAGTAAAGGCCAAAAAATAAATGTGTATGAGCAAATGTCTTAAAGGGACTCGACTGAGGTTTTTTGACATGAAGGGACTGGAAATATTTTTTCAAGATAAATGTAGCATTTGATGTAGGCTTAGATTACTAATCTTTGTGCAAAATTTCAGATCATTCACGCACTTCCGTTTTTCCATGATAATTATTCAAATTGTATAAAAATGACCCAAAATGAAAAGCGTTTAAATGCTTTTCACTTAAATCAGGCTAAGAAAAGCATAAAAATACGATTTTCAATTTATTTCAAAGTAAATTTCTTTAATATCTTTGCATATATTTCTGTTTTATGTGCCTAGCTCATTTATGTAAGAAATTCAAATGTTATGTTTTAGGCTTTTAAACATCAGTGGAGTCCCTTTTAACTATTTAAGCATCCTTGAAAGTGATTTTTCACTTCATACAACAAAGCCTATTTTAAGGCCTCTTTTCCAATAGAATGTTGCTTTAAAATCATGCAGTTCCCAAAATTATGATCCTACACCAATGAAAATACGAAAAATATGTTTCACTGCAATGAAACATAAATTTTTACAGTGAAAATACGGAAAAATGAAAGTTATTTATTTCATCAACATTTCCAAATCTTTATAATTACTAGTAAATAATAAATGGATTAATTTAATTTTAATGTGAAAACTATCCAAGTTTTGTTCCTTCTAAATAGAACAGTAATAACTAGACCTATCACTGAAGGTGATTAATACCCCCACCTGCAACTTTTGAAAAAAAGGTAGTCCGAAGAAAAATTTGAACACAAACTATAAACTGTGTACAAAAAAAATATTTCAATTAATTGTAATCGCAACTGGGGTCTTAAAATAAACTTGGTTGATTACAAGGTTGATTACAATATCTCATTCCTAACTCTACTTATTGTCCGGAAACCATTTTTCTATTTTAAGTAACACTGTAACGGTGACCTTGACCCTAGGGGGTCCAAATGCAATACCAACCTAGGTCTTCATATAAGCTTGCTATACGCCAAGTTTGATAATAATATCTCATTCCTAACTCTAGTTATTGTCCGGAAACCATTTTTATATTTTTTGAAACGGTGACCTTGACCCCAGAGGGTCCAAATGCAATACCAACCGGACTTTCCACATAAGGTTGCTATATGCTAAGTTTGATAACATTACCTCATTCCAAACTCTAGTTATCGTCCGGAAACCATGATGTGGACCGACCGACGGACCGACTGACCGACCAGCTGACTCCTATATACCCCCCTAAACTTTGTTTGTGGAGGTATAATTATGACAATAAATTAAGGTTGTAAGTGCAAAAATCTATTTTAGACATTAGTGGTCTGAACTCGAGTGAACCTTAACTGCACAAATAGTAAGTTCTAACTCGAAATGCCTTTGGAAATAAAAATTATCTTTAATGTAGAACATTGACATCTCTCTCATCCAATCATATTCACTTTTCCAAAATATACAATAATTGAAAAATACCTCGCAATGTCGATAATGGACAAAAAATTATATACAGTTTACAGAACAAAAATAACTCACAGCATAATTAAGACAATTCACATGAAACATAGTTTATGTTAGGAAAATAACCATAGCTACATCTATCTTATCTCTATTTAAAGTGGTCTATATATTTATTGATGTTCATACTTGTTTTTTTTTCTTACATGTACTGTATACACACATTACAGCATTATGATATTATCCCTTTCTTTTTTAAAGGTAAATTTCTGAATTTACTTGCAAAATGGCCAGGAAGCTGCCATGACAGCTTCATACTTAGAACATCAGATCTTGCTGCAAAAATGGAGAGTGAGCATAGAGGTTTTGATATTGATGGGGTTTTATTAGGAGACAGTGGGTATGCATGCGGGAAATACCTTGTGACACCATATGCCAGACCGTCTAACATGTAAGTATATACCATTAGTAACATGTTAATTCAAGGGCCAACTCAAGGCAAGGCCATTCTCAACATTTTTTTTTTACTTTTAAAGTCAAAAACATTGTAAGAATTATGTAGTTAAGAACACTGCTAGGATCTCTAATTTTGTGGAAAAAAAATAATTTAAATTTCATTTCTGAAATTGATAGTCAATCTCATTCAAAAGTCAAGGACACATTTAAATTAATTGTTATTTCATAAGTGTTCTTTTGTTCAAGAATGCATCAAATCCACAATGAAATGACCAAAATTAATTATGAAAAATCAAGCAATCTAAATAATTTGACCTTGAAAATAATGTCATTTAATTAAGGGTCAAAATTTAAAAAAATTAATTCAACATACTTTTTTTATCTTGTGTGTTATTTTGTTTAACGTTCAATGGTGTGATAATTCTAGAAATATATTTATCACATAAACCGCGGCACAGGAGTGTAATAAAGCCATTTAATAAAAACGATATTACACTAGACAATATTACACTAGTGTAATAACACTTTGACGTCACGTCATTTGCGCTATAAACATAGCCTTAAAGCGCGCTAATGTTAGTGTTACACTATAGGCGCGTCAAAGAAAAATGACTCTTTTTAACAAGTTACCGTTCTTATTTTATATATGTGATAAATATAATATTATATTCGTGTAGATTCAATACTAAATTTATTGAACTCGTTGAATAAAACAATATTATGCTCGCCAGAGGCGCGCATAATATGATTTTATTGAACTCGTTCAATAAATATAGTATTTAACCTACACTCATTCAATATCCTCTATGTTGTTTGCCAAATTATAGACAACGCTGTCCATGTGAGAAAATGGTTATCACAGAATATTTAAGTTAAAAATAAAGAATCATAAGGGGAAGTAATTATTCTGGAATACTTTTGTGCTAGAGTTATGAACCTTATCACATGTGATTTGAATGATGATAAGTAAATTCTATTTGAAGTAAACTTTCAATAAAGAAGTTCAAGTTAAAAATATTTTACTGAAACAATAACCATAAATTTGAACACCGACTCAGCTGCCAGTACATCAGCTCTCTATATAAGTCATTCAGTCAATCTCAGAATATTATCAAATATTTCAGATCACAAAATAAGTACAATCAGGCACATACAAAGACGAGAGCTGTAATTGAAAGATGTTTTGGCTGGTGGAAAAGAAGATTTGCTGTTCTTCATAGTGAGATCAGAATGCATCCAGAAAGAGTAATTAAGGTGATCAATGCATGTGGTGTTCTTCACAACATAGCATTTCACTTGAAGGAGCCAATGCAAGGAGACCCTATCGAGGAAGAGGAGATTCAGTCTGAAGAGGAGGATGCTGCTGGTGTTAGACATGTGCGAGATTTCATTACAAATAATTACTTTAATTAAAAACTCTAGAAATGCAAAGTATCTTTAACCTGTAAACACTAAAATTGAAGATATAATATAGTAAATTTAGATATTTGAAAAAGCTTAAAATTGCCATACAATCTCTTTTTAAAGTAAAATAAATATTTTGAGTA